GGGGGGGGGGTGGGACTACGAAAATCGATTCCAGGCCAAAAACTATTTTATATTTAATTTTCTAACACTGGGTTTCATCCAGCAACAAGAACCGACAAAATATCTCAATGTCATGAAGTCCAAAGTTGTATCTTATTACAAAACTTTCATATTTATTTCTTATAAACGTACAGATCCTAAAAGCCTTTTCAACCTATAATTTAAATATAAAATCGTGCACAATAGTAACTGCAGACAAAGGATAACGGGACATTAAAGACGGGAGGCGCTCCGACAATGAGGATGGAAGGTGTCTACAGACCGCAGTTATTATTACAATACACCATACGTATGCAAAACAATGCCGCTATTTAATAATAATATTCCGCTATTTTTCTGTTAAAAAAGCAAACCTTTATTTAACATAATATGAGCTGGTTAGCCGGTATGCTAGCAGACTGCAGATGGGAGGCACTGGCCATCACCTCGGTGCTGGAATAACTGATTTATACAGCTGAGGGATGCATTAGACAGTCGCTTCAGGGGAATTTACCTATGTATCTTTCATCTGATATCTGAACATTTTTCCTACTTTAAATCCTTATAATCAGCGCAATAAGGCTAGGATGCACAAGCCTCGCCTTTCTGACACATCTAATAACGGTTTGCTTGTTCCAAAGTGGCTTCCATAGATCCTACCTTCAGTGATGACAGCCCCGGTACAGGAACAAAACACTTCCGAGGAAATACGATGCTGTAATTTATTTCCAAACGGACGGCTTTCCAAACCTAGCCAGTAAGTTGAAACAGCCCAGAAAATCCGCCGGCTCGCCTCTGAAGTGATGGAAGCGGAATGAATCCACGCGTTGCTGTGGGTATCTAGGAAATGCTCGTCTCTCTGCCGCTCCCTGCCAAATAATGACCCCTCCCACCGAATCCCCAGCCACACACACGACAGGTGCCGAGTATGCGCGCTACCTTCTTGCTAAATAGTGAGCCGCGCGGTAGCTCTGTAATGCGCCTGCGCCATGAGCGTGGCGAGAAAGAGCGCAGCCCTGTCACAAAAACAAATTCCTCGTATGTGTAAACATACCTGGCAATAAAGCTCATTCTGATTCTGATTCTGATATTACAAAGCCAGTCTTGAATATAGACTTTTTTTTTAATGTCATCGAAATTATATGATTATAATATGATTTCTTGTAATTTAAAAGTAGGCTACTAAAAAACAACACAAAAACGTTATTCGCTCATAATTAGTAATCGAAATGTTTTTTTCTCTTCTTTTTTTATTTTGTTTTAAATGGTCAATAAATATTAAACTAGCAAAAATACAAACGTATTGTCCGCACACTGATATAACTGCTCCCAGCGCAATAAGGCTAGGATGCACAAGCCTCGCCTTTCTGACACATCTAATAACGGTTTGCTTGTTCCAAAGTGGCTTCCATAGATCTTACCTTCAGTGATGACAGTCCCGGTACAGGAACAAAACACTTCCGAGGAAATACGAGGGTGTGATTTATTTCCAAACGTACGGCTTTCCAAACCTAGCCAGTAAGTTTAAACAACCCAGAAAATCCGCCGGCTCGCCTCTGAAGTGATGGAAGCAGAATGAAATCACGCGTTGCTGTGGGTATCTAGGAAATGCTCGTCTCTCTGCCGCTCCCTGCCAAATAATGACCCCTCCCACCGAATCCCCAGCCACACACACGACAGGTGCAGAGTATGCGCTCTCCCTTCTTGCTAAATAGTGAGCCGCGCGGTGGCTCTGTACTGCGCCTGCGCCGTAAACGCGGAGGGAAAGAGCGCAGCCTGGGATGGGCGGGGTGAAGATGCTGCTGCGCATCTTTGTTAAATAGTGATGCTCAGCTGGAGGATGGAGCGCGTGCTCAATGATGTGTGCTCCTTGGGTGTTCACGACTGTTTGGAATTGTATATTTTTTTCTGTTTGTTTGTTTGTTTTTTGTGTAAAGCATATATTCCATTGTGAATTTTCACTTTATTTTTAGCTTTTTTTGGATTTAGTTAGGTTTCTGGCGTTTCTGACAGTTCAGAAAAGCTGAAAAGAAAATAAGCAGCCAGTTTGTTATGGGCTGCCTGAGTCTTAAATTGTAGCAAAAATACAAACGTATTGTCCGCACACTGATATAACTGCTCCATAAGAATAATTTATTGCAACGTTTCGACCACCATCAGCCTGACGAAGACCTGATGGCCGAAACATTGCAATAACTTATTCTTATGGGGCAGTTCTATCAATGTGCGGACAATACGTTTGTATTTTTGCTATAGTTTGACTTTTTTTTGTCCTGCACCTGAGCCCTGTGTGGGTTTGTGGGATGTGCGCAACTTTTTTATATTTTGATTTTAGAGTTTC